GTGTGTGTGTGTGTGTGTGTGTGTGTGTGTGTGTGTGTGTGTGTGTGACTCCAGAGGAGGAAATGGCATCTACATTTTAAAAAAATCCCTTTTCATCTTTACGTGCCATGCGTGTTGTATTCCACACCCTGACTCTCAGCAAAACAGAGGCAAGGGAGGACTGAGCGATGTTGGACGCGTTATCATCGCAACCAGCGGGACGGTGAACGAAACAAAAACCCCAAACAGCTGACATATTGATCTCGATAAGGTAAGAAAAGCGTTTTATGTTTCCTTTTCTTCTTACATTGCGGTAGAAGTAACAGTGATGGTGAAGGACGCGGAGCAGCTTGTGATCTGTCAGCTCCAGCAGAGGTGGCTAAGATTAGACATTTTTTTGGGGGGGTAGTGGCTGCGCATTTTTTTTTTCTTAACGTGGCTTCCAGCCCGACCTGCAGAAATGACGACGTGACGCTCAACTTTGAGGTGCCAGTTACGGTTGGCTGCACGAGGCTGATACACACCTGCATCCAAACCGGGGTGCTGGAATTTATATATTTCCTGATCTTTGTCTCTGCGTGTTTGTGTGCGTGTAGGTGTGTGTGTGTGTGTGTGTGTGTGTGTGTGTGTTGCATGAATAGATGGATAGACGTGAGCCGCAGGATTCATTGTTGCCTCGTTGCCAGCCTGCATGTCTCCTCCTCACTAATAGTATTGCTGCTGCTATCCTGTTAATGCTGATGAGTGCAGGCCGCCCTGCTGCTGCTGCTGGCAGTACATAGACACCTTCAGCTGACTTGGAGCACAGCAGGACAAAAAAGACCCAGAAGGGCTTGAAACACAGAGATTATAGGCTCTGCATGCTAGCATTCATATTTTTGGATTCTGCAGGATCCCTGCAGGAAATTGCAATTTCACCCTCTGACGAATCACTGTAATAGGAAGTTACAGTCTGTCTGTAGAGGGAATTAAAATGACCTCATCCTGCTTTTAATGGCGACAGTCTGATGAGGCTTTCTTTGTGGTACAAGCAAGCATCACCTCCAATACTTAAATCCCTTCATTGGCTTCCCATACATCAGAGTGTTCAATTAAAATATCCTCCAATTGGCTTTTAAGGCTTCAGCTCCTCTGTATATTTTTGACCTGCTGACTGACTACATCCCCCATCAGACCCCTGATGGCTTTTTCTAGTTGTCCCCAGAATACGATCAGGAGCTGAAAAATGTGCTTTTATTTACTCTGGACCTTCCCTCTGAAATGCTTTGCAGGAAGAGCTGTGATCTAAAAACTGTACATTTAAA